CGTTTAAAAATATGTTTTGTTATATATGTATACGTTTAATTTTATAAATACGTTTAAAAATATGTTTTGTTATATATATATATATATGTATATATATACGTTTAATTTTATAAATACGTTTTGTTATATATATATATATATATACACGTTGACTTTTGTTGACCGGGCCGGGCCGGGCCGGTCCTATAACCGGTTCCGGTTTTAACCGGTCTCGGTCCTAAAAAACGTTAAAATCCATAACCGGCGGTCCACAACCGGTCCATACCGGTCCCGGGCCCTCTCCGGTCCTGGTTCCGGTCCTCCGGCGGTTACGGGCCAGGCCGGGCCCATTTGGCCATCTCTACTTGGGACTAGTAAGGACTGGCCCAATTCGTCCCGGGACTGGTTGGTATTGGTTTTGTACCATCACTACTTGGTACCATTTTCTGCTTGGTATTGGTTTTGTACCAACTTTAAATCAAATGAGAACCACAAAAAAGTTGCAAACCACGTAAGAATCGATTTAAAAATAAATGTTTACATGATCGTTTTTCACCAAATACTATGATTTAAATCATTATTTGTATCGTAGAACCTCCGGACCAACGCGATTACCGTCGACTTCCCGCACCCGCTTTTCCCAACTAATCCAATGCTTGTCCCGGCCTTCACTTATAAACAAAATTTCCGTAAGATTAAGGTCTCGGGTCTGCCCGGGTACGCGAAATCGACCTTCTTGATTTCAATTCCGCCACTTAGTTTTGCCAACTTTACTCCATTGGTTTCCATTTTCATCCTGTGTGCATATCCATAGTTAGCAGAAAAGATTTAAAATACGTGAAACCCCACCAGATAAAGAACAATAAAATCGCGTATACAAGACATTGATAATGTCTTTAGTGACTTAATAGACCGCATTATAGGAGCGAACAATAGAGTGTCGTATCTAAAAGGGTTGTAATAAGTTTTAGGACGCTCTTGGGCATCTTAATAAGTTTTTTAGAATATATTTAAAATAAAGCATAGTATTTGATATTTTATAAGACCCTTTTGAGAAGTGTCCTATAAACACATCTTTTTATAAGACGCTTTTTCAAATAGTCTTCTATAAAATAGTTAATGCTACACTTTATTTTAAAAGTATTTTAAAATACTTGTTAAAGACATCTAAAAAAGTCAAATAAACTTATAGCAACACTTTTAGATATGACACTTTATGTTTTGTTCGTATAAACTTAAGTTCTATAAAGCAATCTATTATGATACTTAGACATTTTTGACGTCATATAAACTCAGTTTTTAGGACTATGACAGTTACGTACATGAATATGCTCGTGATCAATGATCGGCGATCGAGAATGGAGAAAACAGAAGCAACGGCGGTCGAGCCCTTGGCTATATCGGAAGTCATACTCCCGGCATCCGCTATTACCTTTCCGGTACTGATCAATATGAAGAACGTTTTGAAAACGTCCCCGGCCGATATCTCCCCGCC